GCCGGATGGCCTTGAAGTTGACTGCGAGAAGCGAGCCGCTTGCATGGACCTGACATAACCTGTGCAGGTTTTTGGGCCTCCTCAGCTGCCTGGTCCGCGTAGTCGAGCAGCTCGCGGAGTTCCTGAGCCTTCTCCTGCGAGGATGCAGCGAAGCAGCGACGCTGCTCTGGTTTGGACATCCAGATGGGCCCAGGCCTCGGCTTCCTGGCGCTTCTTCTCTGCCTCCTCTTCCCTTTCCTTGAGCCTTTGCAGCTCCTGGCACTTCGCGGAGCTCGGATCTCCACTGTGCCGTCTTGGAGGGAGAGAGTCTGAGACTGCATGCATCCATGCGGCTGTGAATCTATATGTGCTTGCTTCGCTGCTCGGAAAGCCGAAGGCATCCGTCCTGCTCATGCTCCACATCCGTGAGCGCCTGGACGACCGAAGGCAGCAAAACGGTACAGTGTACTTGTCCACATGACAGAAGGCAGGTCTCACTCAACCATCCCTAGCTCTGTCCAGCAGAAAGATTAGTGACCCAAACAGCTGCCGTGGGTGCCTGACGACAGGTACATCGAAATCGCCACCGCCCGCAGCCCCACCTTCTGCTCTTGGGCGCGCTTAAGTGCCTCCTGGTGCTCTTGCGACTCGGACTCCAGTGTGTCACCTGGTAGGCCGGAAGACTGCCAGACGGTGAAAAAAGCGAGCCACACCTGGTTGGGAATCCATCTAAAATCTAAAGTGCATCTCAGCCACACTTCTTCTGCAGGTCGACGATCTCGCGAAGGGCTTGCTCTTGGATCTCCTCCTGCTCTTTCCTCGGATGCCAGGCAATGTCCGGCGACCCGGCGACGTCAGACTCCTTCACAGCTGCCCTCTCCAGCCAAGCGACACTGTGGCCTCCGCGTCTGCGAGGCGCTCGCGGAGCACCACGGGCCAACGCAGCGCCGTGACTAGCCTTTAGAACCACAGCTGGAGCAAAGCCTACGCACAAGTCAAGGACAGCCCGATTGCACTCCATGTCTTGCTCTTGGTCACGCGGCTGTCGGATCAGCTCGGCAACCTCTGAGTCGATCCCTGGCTTCGACTTCTGGACGGCCTGCCAGCAGTCGCACGAAGCCACACCGCCCTAAACGTGGAGACGGTCTCGACCACAGTCAGTTCATGCGGCATGCCCCGGGCATTTGCGTATACAAACTTTGTGCTGCAGTCTTGTTTGTTCTTGGTTGCCAGCAAGCGCTGGACAACTCCCGAAAACATCGCGAACGTTGCTCCGAAGCAGTGCTCGCTTGATGACGATGATGGGATCTGTTGATGTGCTCCTGTATTTGACCAGTACTCTGGTCAGGTTTGGCTGCGAGGAGTGCTCGTGAGAAGACGCATGTAATCCAAAGAAAAAGCTGTATAAGGGGTTTGCACGAATACGAGCCCTCCACTTCGCCATGCCACACCTGCACAGCTTCTCTGAGTTGGGCTGCGCTGTCGTCTTCCTCGGGCTGCGAGCACACACACACACACACACACATACATCTTCACACACTTGTCCGAACATGCACACCCTTATAGCCAGGGTCTGTCCACATGTCGGAGTGCTGCTCGAGGAGTTCATCTGCGAAGTCCATCGCGTCCTTGCAGTTTCTCGAAGAGCCAAGTGTAGGTTCTGTGATGCGGCTGATGCCGCGTTAGCAAATTTTTGAACTTTGGAGGCACAGGACACGACACTCTGCACATCTCTACGCACAGCCGAGACAGTCCTGCAGCAGGGCAGTTGCGACGGGATCCGAGACTCCATCCTGTGAGTCAAGCTGCCACTCCAGAGCCTGCAGGGAGGGCTCCGCAGCACAGACACAGCCGGTGAGGTGCGGGTGCGGTGCGCCGTGCCCTTCCTCCAATTTCAGCCCTCGCCTCGATGCGCTCGGCTCGTGCCTCGGCCTTTTCCGATTCGGGAACACAGACAGAAGAACAGACACTATGCGACTCTGCGACTTTCTCGCCTCCTCGAGGGTGTCGTGCAGAACTTCTTCAAGCTGCTGGATGCGAATCTCTCGCTCCTGCATCGAAACTCAGGAGATCTTTGCCTACGGTTGATATTTTGGAAGCCGCTCAGCGAGCGCGAGATCGGGGCTCCATGTTGCAAGGCTGTTCAACCGCCGCTGCATTTCAATAGACGCAACCCTCGGGCCATTGACAGAAATTTCAGTTAAGCCCAGACATGTACAATTGGACAACTTCGCGAGTTCTCGGTGGCCTTGCCCGACTCGATAGTATCTTCAAGCTCCTGTAACGAAAGGGCTGGTCCGCTAGGCCGCCGGGCTTGGGCACAAAGCAAACCGGCCTTGATGCGGGCTGATCGGTCGTAAGCTGCCCGCAAGGCAGCCGCGACGCGGTTTTCCAGCTCCTGCACCTGGAGCATAGATGTGGCCCTCTGCCCCTGTGCCATCCTGGAGCCCAATATCGTATTGGAAGCTGGCTTCGCGCAAGACCTTCGGAAATTTTCGGGATAAATTTTGCCCGGCCTTCGAACTGTGCATCCCTTCCAGCTTCAGCTGCTCCTCCTGAAAACTGCAATTATGGAATGCTCTCTGGCATGTCTGCAGCTGAGATTGCCAAGAATCTACGGAATCCCCGGGAAGTTTGGCAAGCCATACCGATTCATACCTCCTTGTTGCTGAAGACAACTCGTATTTTGGCTCCGATCTTTCGGGCTGGCTCTGTGCTCGTGCCTCCGACGGGGCAGCAGCGCCTGCAGCAAATCCCAGACTCTCGGCCCAGTACTCCGCTTCCTGCCACTGTGAAGCATGTTTCTGTAAACCGCGGATTCAGACTCCCTCAACTCCGTCCTCTGCATCTTCGAACCAAAGCCTGACTACACAGGAACGTCAGCTGCGAGCTAGCTGACTTGAGGGCTTGAGCGAGTCGGCGGCCATAGGCCCATGCTTTTCTTCCAAGTGGCGAGAATGCCTTCTCTGGGAGCTGCACAAGCAGGACTGCAGCCTGGTGCGTCACCTCTGCACCTTGCGAAGGATCGTGCCGACAGTCACCGACTTCGAGGCAAATATTAAGGTGCTCACACACTTAATTGCAGGATCTTGCTGCCTCTATTATGCGATTGATCGTACCTTGGCACGGCTCTTCGAATCTCTTCGCATGCCAATCCGCCCTGCCTGCAATGGAGATTGTTTCTTCCGGCGGCCCTGGAGTCGTGTTCAAAAGCAGCTGGTCCGTGAAGAGGGCCAAGTATCGGACCTGCATTCCGATCCCTGGGAGCTGCTCCCCCGAATCTTTGACAGTGCATACCTCGCCGCAGCGCTCGCGGCCAGGACCGAAACAGCGAACAGCGGGGGAGCCGGCATCCACCTGAGTGCCACGTGCAACAGATGTCACACCCATCTTCACCGAAACGTGTTCTGCCTGGGTGATGCGGGATGCCTGTAACTGCAGTCGCGTTGGATCGTAATCTCTGTTGCTAGTTCATTCCGTGCATCCCAGAAATCTCTCCAAGCCACGAAAGGAAGGTCGCCGTCCTCGGGATGCATTGGGCTGGTGTTACCAAGGGCTCTGTCGTTGCTGCAAGTGGCCTTCGGTGAGGACTTCCAAGATTTATTAATGCTTTTCGGTCCCTCGCTGTTGCATTGAGCTTCCTGAAAGCTGCGAAGGTCATGATCTGTAGCAGTACCGGTGCGATGAAACGCCTGCAAACCGAGAACATGCCCTCACCTTTCCACATTGACGTCTTCGGTGTGTTGATGACTCGATACTAGGGCCTAGGGCCTTAAATCCTCAACCCGAGACGTTCGCAGGCTGGAGATGGTCGATGGGCTCAAGTGCACACCTCGGCCTTACATAAATCGCTTGGTACCGTTCTGCTCAATTGCGCCCGACCACGCATGCGCAGCATGTCCGCACACGTTTTCGACCAACAACCAAGGCTTTGAGCTCGCCGGAATGATGAATGATGTATCTTCGGGACATGCAATACTGTCGATTCAAAATTGAATCGAATTTGGCTGCGTGCCGGTCCATGCTTACATGAGCCAAGAATGCCTGCAGAGTTTTTCCAGCAGATGACGTTACCTTTGTTCAGCATGGCATCCCGATGCCAGCACAGTCCTCCCCCGGTGTTATGATGGTAACATGAGACTTCACTTGCAATCGTCCACACTCTACAGTAGATGCTCGGAGGTGTCCTTGCAGGCGACGCGTCGCTTCGGCTTTTTCCAGCCCACCAGAACCTCCAGGCCACTGGCAGGCATACTCAGAAGTACGAAACCGGTAAGGCACAAGTTCCAGATTTTCCTGTGATACTGCTTCCACCTTCACGACATCAAGAGAAGTGGCTCCCGCAGATCGAAAGCCCGAGACAACGTCGCCTGAAGGCTGTCGGAGACGGTTGTAGAGCCCTGGCAGCAGCGCGATGGGATCTACCACACTTAGTCCGCCGCTTTCCATGCCCAGCTCTCCCTCATTGACTCTTGGCATTCAGAGAGTACGAAGCTGCGAGCATCCGCATTCACTTATGGATGGACTGCTGGGCTTGCTGCAGCAGAACGCAAGCAGTGACCCTCAGAGTTAAGAGCTAGATGCAGTCAGCGACATTTCTATCCTGGCAGCTCGTGCCACCTTGACATAAGCCGCTCCCCCAGCTGCAGCAAACAGTAAGGATAATGTCTCCAGCACCATTGCAACGGACAGCGAGGGTCTTTCAGTGGCATGCAGCAGCCTGACAGAAGCCCTCGGGGCCAAGAGCGTCAATCCTTTTTGTATCTGGGCTTGTCTTAAGGTATTAAAGCCTTAGACGACACAAGTACAGCTTGGCTGAACTCGCGCTTGCGCCAACATGCTGCGATGCTGCACTTCTAATAAACATCAAACCTACTCTGAATCAAGAGCCAAACCGTCTCGGCCGGCGGCGAAACTGCAATCTTCGGGGTAGTGTGTCGCTCACCGCTCAGGACGGGGCTTGACTTTCCTCTTACACGAAAGGACACCTGCTCATGTCACTCGAGTTCTCGCCGGGTCGCACTGTAGGCGGACTCCGGGTGCTCCAAGAGCCATGGCGCACTGCCTGCTGCAAACTGTGCTGCATGGTTCATGGATTTGGTAACATGTAGCATGACAGCAGCATCGTGCTTTCCGATCCCACTCACTCGCACACCTGCAGTAGGGGACCGACTACTCTCAACCTAAAGATTCGCTGAGAGACATGCCAGCTCGTGCCTGCAGAGTGGTTCAGCACCTTCAAAGAGAGAAGGCTGAGGTCAAAGATTCAAAGAAGCGGCCGTAAAATGAAGTGCATTGGCTAAGAACGCCGCGATGTCTATGGCAGAGAGGAGCCCCATTTCCTCGAGTCGTTCCTTGGAGTTGTTGAATACCGGCTTTTCCCAAAGTACAGCACTGATGACGCGGAGAAGTGCTAGAGAGTCGATCGTCTTTCCGGCAATGGATTGTCTAAAGTCTAAATCCCTGCAATGCCACACTGGCCTTTGCTGATGCCAGCAAGCCACAACCGACTTCTGCACCGTCTGAAACCTGATCAGCTTCGGCGTGTTGGAGTTCTTAGGGACACGGAGCTGCCGAGGCGATAGACATGCTGAACTCGAAGCATCAACCTCTTTCCCATGAGCCTCCCAACCCTGTCGGCCGGTGGTGACTCCATGAGCGAGGGATCGACATCTCCCTGTCCAATCAGGACTGTGAACGTCTCTATCGTCGACTGCAGCAATCGCTTACACATCCAGAGCGGCTCAACTCCTTCAAAGAGTCGAGCCTGGTCGTCCAGCGCATAGCAGCTTCCGCTTTCACCTGTCGGAAGTGTAGCGATGAAGCTTTCATCCACTGAATCCGGACTTGCGTACTGCTATGTTAAGTTGCTGAACACACCGTAAAGAAAGAATACTCTGCGCGGAGATGTTCCAGGAATGCTTGCAGGCGAAACCGCAGGTGCACTCTCAGCCGAAGTGCGGTGCCGCTTCACAGATGCACAGCTGCCCCCTTCATGCGTGAAACCTACGGAACAGCCAAAGAAACCGATGTGAGCAAACAGCCGTCAGCCCGTGGTCAATCTCAGCCTGGTTTTTGAATGGGTGTGAAGTGGATCATGTTGTAACCCAGCGCCGCCTTGCCAACAAGGTCAGCTGTACGCTAGTGATTGCTACTAATTTACAGCGTGTCAATCATTCTCGGCACGGCTGCATCGCGCAGTTTTCCGACATTGCTGCAGGGTTGCTGCTGTGGCGTGTCGCTGCGTGAAACATGACAGCACTCTTCGTCGATCTGGTCTGCAACCAGTAAAGGTCTAGTTTAAGCCCCCAAACACCGCGAGGCATTTCGTGAAACTGGACACCCCTCCCCCTTTCAACTTCCCTCTTGCAGGACGGACTTCTTTCGGAGCAAACTGAGCCAGTGAGTTGCCTCGAGACCTAATGGAGGCTCTGGATTGGACAGTACCATCAGCCCTGCAAGGCTTCTTGCAACCAACTCCGGCTCACTGGAACTGCTGCCAGGTGCGCTTTCTCACAAGCACCTGAAGCGAGAGACTGGGAGAGATAGAGAGAAATGAACCAGACTGAAAAGCTTTCCTGCTGCAAGGGGCCCACAAGCAAAAGTGGCGAGAAAAATTACGTCGAGCTAATGGTGTCGTGGTCCGCACACGGCATTAACATGACGTACCAGCTGCAGAGCATCGAAGAAGCGGAAGGCGGTTCTGCGAGAACCAACAACCGATAATCAAAGTTGGGCGCTGAGAGGTCTCCCCAGCTTCTCAGCAAAGCGGATGATGCCTGACGGTCTGGAGCTCGTGAGGATTCGGACAACACCTGTCGCTGCACCCCCGCTATGGCCTGCCGCACTGGGATCCGAAAGAACATCGGAAACGGAAATTTTGGAGGCGGTGGCGGCAGCTGCAAGCCTTGCACATCATTAGAGGCTTGTGCCATCGAGCTACCTGCGTCAGTGGCTTGCAGAGCATGGTCATCTTGTTATACAAACGCGACGCACGCGCACAGGCTGAACCCCTCGCAGCCAAAGTCAAGGACAGTATGTCAGCAGGCTAAAACCAGAAGTCCAGCCGTTGTATGCAGACATGCAGAAGAGCTAAGACCCATCACCTCTGGCCAATGGCCAGCTGGAACCACGCCCAGTAGACAGCTGCTCGGCTGCTTCTCAACCCACCCTCAGGGCTCACAGTGGATCAAGGCTCAGCTTGGCATGTTGTAAGCTCAGATTTCAGATTCCGAGCCGATTACCTCGGTGTAAGGGAAGCGGGTTGCGTCGCCAGCGCTCTGCTGCACCTCTGCCGATGCCTTCGCCTTGCTGTCCGATGCCAAGTTGTGTTCACATCTGCTTCGACGAGGATCCCCGACATATACAGTGGCAAGGACACCCTGCAGTGACAACGACACCATTTACAATAAGACGTCGTGGTGCTCATCCTCATCCACTCTTGCAAGCTATGCCAATGTCCAGTTTCAAGTCGCACGATACATACCTTAGGCAAGCGTGCATCCTTCAAATCAAGTGACTTGCAAGCCCCCGCGTCGCCGCAGGATGTGCGAGTACAGCTCGTCGTGCTGCATGTCGGTCGGCTCGGACAGCCGTCACTATGCAGCTCAACCAGAAAGGGATCCTCTGAAAAATCGGAAAAATTCAGATATCCCATCGGGTAAGTCGGTCGCTCTTGCTTCATTGAGCCGAACAGGTGCGTGCTGCATCAGTCCCGAAAGCTCGCACATGCATCTCGGTTCCCCACTTCTGACACGACATGTTGTCACCCAGCAACTTTGCCAGCAAAGAGCAGACACGTGACGTCTTGCACTCTCTGGAGTTCGATATTTCAACCGCTGTCGGCATGCTGTGGCATTAAGAAAAGCACCAAAGGCCCGTGGTTAATTTGCGGCCCAAGACCCAAGCCGGCGCCTGCGGTGCCAGTGTCTCCGGCCAGCGCTCGATGGGACCGGCGAGTCGCGAGAGAGCGGTGAGCTGGACGACCTGCCATGTTGCACTTGCAGTGGCTGGAACGACAGACACAGAACAAGAAACACGTCCGAAATCACAACACCCATGCTTCGGTCTGGCGACAGAGCGACACGGGAGGTGCTGCCCCTTGACGCCTTGCAATCAGTCACAAACTAGAGGCTACAAGCAGTCCGCGACGGTTACGTGCACCCTCAGATCCAGCACCGGCACGTGGACATGACTCGACCGCGTAAAACTGACTGCGAAGGAAAGTAACGGCTGCCTCTTGCAAGAACACAAACTGACCTTTACAGATTCCTTTTGGCTCAAACGCAGGCACAGCGGCGCAAAACTGGCTCCACCTGGCAAAGCTTCGTCAAATGACAGGGGAAGCACAAGCCCATGTCAAACACATGCTGTTCTGAGTTTGGGAATTTGGAAGTCGGGGAGATATCACACCAGCCTCAACCTTTAAACTCTAAACTCTAAACCTGTTTACCACTATTGCTGCCGTCACTCGGTATGAAGTAGCTCTGTCCCTTCCTCTTCCGGCTTCACCTCCGACCCTAAACTTAGCGTTTAGCCGCCTTGCCAAAGACGCCCAATGCTACCGTAAGCCGACACGCTTGCAGACAGTCATCCAGCACTCAGGCCCCACCACTCCCATACCTACCAGTCCAAGCTGCCACAAGTTGCCAGCTCGGGGCAGCTATATCAAGCATCTCCTTGACAGTCTGGGGAGTGCGAACTCTGACACAGGACTCTCCAGCTGCCTGGACCCTGCTGCAGATCCGAAAGGCCAAGGTCTCATCCCCAGACAGTAGTCAGTAGTCTAACCTGCCATCTTGAAGCCCATGCCGGCTCTCTCTGTCTCTCTCTCTGTCTCTCTCTCTGTCTCTCTCTCTCTGGACAGAGGAGGCAGGCGGACACCCAGCCCCTCACGCGCGAGCGCGCACCTGCGGTTCACAGGTTTTCAGGGTTTTATGAGGAGGCATCGCCCCGACGGGCTCGGCTATTCACGGGCCCCGGAGGGGCAGCTCCCCCGCAGGCGCAACAACACAGCTGAGGCCCCGGCCAACACTCTGCAAGTCGACAACCACTGCAAGTTTACTCTGCACTGCTGAGGAGAAGTTCCCCCACGGCACTGTGCCCAGCCACGAAAGTCTGGAGAGGCTTCACGGCAAACGACAACAAGAGTGGCCTAGTGTACTGCTCAAAGTCACAGTCCCCCTCCAAGGGCCCGGACCCAACAACAGCACAGTACAGTACAGGCTAAAGCTAGACGAACCCGGTGGCAGGCAACAGCCCGGCCTTCATACTCTACCGCAATTGCTCCTCATTCCCCGGCAGAAGAAAAGGAAGTAAACCGCTGCACTCTCTCTCTCTCTCTCTCCGACTCAGAAGCTGTCTTTCTGCGAAGCTCCTCCTTCTCCCCGACACCGGGGTAGAGCACAAAAACTTCGTATGGACCGGGCCTGCAATTCGCATGATGACAGCTTGGAGTTCAAACTCAGACTTCGGATCACAAACTTGCTTGCATTGCGACACAATCCGGCTTCGTTTTCACAGATGCACTGACAACCTACACACTTTCTTCAACGGCCGCCTCTCCGGCAGCCACTCCGCAACCCAGTCTGCAGTCGGTCCTCTGTCATCACCTCCGGAGCATAACCAAGCCACCAAGCAGGGTGAGATTCATAGGTTGAAGGGATGCTTGACACTTTCGACACCACAGAGTGGCAGCCGCCACCATCAACTGGGCTCGAATCCACTTCCACCGAGGCCATGAATGCCGCAAGGACGGCTGTAGGATACTGTTGCAGACGTGAAGGCAGCAGTTGAGAAAAGCAAGGTTAGTCCAGCCTTCCAAGACGAGTTCTTCCCCGAGCTCGTCACGGACCACCAGCCGCGGGGCGCCCCACAGCGTCCTTTGGCCCATTCCACGCAAAGGCATGCGCACATTGATGCGTCAAACTGTCAACATGGACGGCGAGACTGAAATGCAACGCTTCTTACGACGCAAAAAAGCACCAGGAATGCGCAGCCCGGGTAGGATAGAACACCACTGACAAGCATACATGTCTCGAAGCATGCCATCGTTCCTGATGCCCGACTATGCAACAAAGCTTCGGGACGCTGCCAGCGGCCAAAACTGCCAAGACCTTCCAGCATCGAGGCAGTGTTCAGATCTGTGGCCGGATGGCGGGTTGATCATGGGTTTCCATTGACAGCAAATTGCAGGCCAGACGAAACCCACGACCGGTTCGCCAATCCGGACCATATGGCAGGGAAACAGTACGTCAGAACAACAAGGAAGATGGTCCATGTCTTGTTGGATGCAGGCATCTGCGAGTGACAACAGAAAGCATCGAGAGACTTGGCAGCTTGGTGCGCCGGCACACTTCCTCTCTGCATATAGGGCGCAGCAAAGCAAACAGTGATGGAAGAAGCACACGTGCACTCTGCAGACTGCCCAGCTGCAGCATTGAATGCATCTGCTGATGACCACAAATTTGAGACCCTAAACGCAGTGGTGATGATGATGATGACGACGATGATGGATGATGACGATGATGATAGTGATGGTGATTGCGATGCTGGTAATGATGATGATGATGATGGTGATAAGGGTTATGGTTATGGTGCTGATGATGATTGTGAGGTTGGTGGTGATGGTGATGATGGTGGTGATGGTGGCGATGGTGGTGGTGATGATTTTGACGATGATGACGATGGTGATGATGGTGGTGATGGTGATGATGACGATATGACGATGAAGAAGGTGATGATGGCGATAATGGTAATGATGATGAAAGAACAAGAAGACGATGATAGTGGTGGTGGTGATTTGTGGCTTGGTACCCTCGGGCTTCGAGACATGATGTCTGCGCATGCCCGTGCATGGGCGAACCAGTTGCGTAAGGCGCAGGCGACGTCGCCACACGCAATCCTCAGCACACCGTCCTTGGCTTTGTTTGCTGAGAGGTGCTGAGAGCTGAGAATCCAAATAGTCCAAGGTGCTCGGTCTCCAGGCAGCGCTGGCAGCTCACCTTGGGCGCCAAGCTCCAATCGCCAGCGTGTGGGCCCTGCCGAATTCACCTCGTAGCGAGTGAAGCGGAAACTGGAGGGATCTTCAGGTATAAGTGCCCAGATGGCACAGTTGCTGGCGCGAACAAGAAGGGGGAAGACCCTTGATGTTGCATCCACTCGTAATCAAATCTGGCTGTCACGGACACGGCGGGCATTTTCGTGGTTTCACAACTGCTCGAGCCACACACACACACACACGACGACATGCTTCGAGTTCTTTCCATCGAAGGCCAACAATCACTATTCACACTACATTTCTGGTCACTATACTATTGCCCGTGCAACCTCGGCAGTCAACACTTACTGGGTCTGCGACAGGTGTTCCCGCCATAATCGTCGAACCTGCATGGACATATCCCGGTCAGGCTGTTAACCACGTCGGGCTCTACAAACTACCCCAAGCTTGGTGCACCAATTTGGCCCGCAAAGATAAAATGAAAGCTTGCCAGGCGGAATGTGCAGCGAAGGGCCCGTAGAAGCCCGCACCGGGCCGCGAGTCCCCGTCAAGCAGAGGCGCTACATGTGCTACACCGACCTGAACCGGCACGATCGCTACATCCAACCCCGCAATGTGCAAACCGCGTCATGGGGTCCTCCGTTTTACATTCTTGGGGGAGTTTCTGGCGCGATACTTCTGAAAACAAACATGACTTCAATGTAGTCTTTGGAGTGAGTGTCTGGACGGACGAGGATTTTCAAACCCTCAAAAGCCCACTGGCAAGTGCAGAAGTGAAATTTTAGACGTCTTGGCCTCCGGCCTGGACGTTACAACCCAAGCTCAAAGCCTAGGCAGACATCCGGCCCATAAACCTTACAGAAACGGCTGAACCCATGAGCTATCGCAGATAACCACTGCATTCAGGCTCAATCTCACCCGTTCTCATCAGCCAAGCTGGGACACTGGGAACTAGGGGAGAGAGGCCCATACTGCACAGCGTTGTGGCAAGCTTGCTTGATCTTGTGGGGATCCGCGATAAGACACTGCCTGACTTCTTTCCGTGGGCGATGCAAAGATGAAAGTATGGCTATCGGGTAGACAATGGTAGACAAAACAGCATGTCAAATCAGCAGGGTGCCAAAACGTCGGAGAGCTGGGTATATACCGACCAAACCCAAGTTTGGGCTGGTTTGCTGGCCAGCCTGAGGCACAGTGCTTCAAGCAACGGCCACAGGGAAGCCTTTGAAACCCTAATGGCTGCGGAACATCTGTGCGTGACAGTGGCAGAGCAACGGCGACAAAACTTCCACCCGCAGAAACTTGGGCAAGCGCAGCATACGTCCTTTTGAAGCAGTGGCTCGGACTGGTCATGTTTGGTCGGTCTTTCTGACTACTATCTGACATCTTCATCCCGGACGGTCCAATCCTGCAGCACCCTCTGTGCCAATCAGGGCAACCCGGCCGGACCTGTTCCGCGCCTCTCCGGACGAAACCTAGGCAGAGCAGGGCTGGCCTGCTGCGAACGGCCGTGGGCCAAATGACTCCAGTCGACTGGCACGCCATCGCCCGGGGAGCTCGAAGCGAGAACCCGTTGTGCTTAGCTGACTCTGTCTTTCCCTGCAGCAGTGATGGCTCTCGAGTTCCCCATGGGGCATTTCTATGGGCTGACTTTGTCAGGACATGGCTGCATGCTTGCAGCTGCTGGCGGACGACCACAAACATTCGAAGGCGGAGATGCACACAACAGCTGCTTCGAATTAGGACATCGCGACGAGGTACCAAGATCGAAACCCTCTCATGCATGGCATGAAATGCTACAGTAGGCTGTTTGCACTTGCTGAGTAGCTCTGCAGGGCGCAGTGAAGCATAAACTCGAGCCATGGCCTGCCGCATGAGAAGGGCGACCTTTCCGTCCGTCGGCATGCACATAACATGATTGCCGCGACCCCATGGCATGTCTTTAAACATGCTTCGCTGGAGCCATAGCACTGTGCGTGCTGGCGATCGTGGAACGATACCAGTTGTGTTTGTACACCACATTTACAAAAGCAGGTCGATCTCGTTGCTCCGCGGCCTTGCCCTCCAGCTGCATTTTGTCCTGGACGCAGACGAGCTGAGATCTGCATCATACGCAGAAAGTTCTGGAAGACGCATGCCAAGATGGACGAGGCCAGAGCATTTTCTCAGAACCATCCAGCTGCCAAGTCACTCCGCCTGCGTCAAGACTGTCTTCATCTAGTCGTACTGGCAGACTAATGCCCACAGAAATCCCGCACCTTTCTGCAAGCTCTGCATCCAGACGTTCCATGGCCTGCATGTGCAGTGATGTTGTGAGGCACAATGATGATGTGGCGAGGCCGAGGTGCAATGAAATCTTAGGGTCTCTTCCAGCACGATGCTGTTGGGATTGCCATGAAACTAAGAAGTTTTGGCTCAGGAATCTGTTGGCAATCATTTGTTCTTGCGTGTACGGAATGGGGCTTCCGGACTTTGAAGAAGGTGACTTTGGTGCACTTTAGGGCTTTCTGGGTTTTTACCGGGTGGAGAGAAACTTCCTGAAGAAAATCACGCTCTCACAACTCGGACAAGCCAGCCGAAAATCCATGTGTTCGGGTCTTCAGGAAGTCAGTGGGTTTTGAGGCTGCAGCGGCTTCAGATCTTTCGGGCTGTGGGGTGACGAGATTGACAACAGAGCTGCTGTGCAAAACGCCTGTGTGACAGGTATTCTGAAAGTGGGAACACGCATTTTGGAGTACATCTGCGGGCGTCGAGGCACGATACCAATAACGTGTCACTTTCATTTGCACCTGCCCTTGAAATACCAAATATTTCTCTAGATCCAGCCTCGATTGATTCACGTGTCACTTTGCTTACCCTTGGCTTCACAACAAGCTACGAAGAGACCTGCTCCTTCACTTGCCTGTAACGCTTCAAAAACTGCCGATACAGAAATTGAACTTGCATCTTAGAGCTTGCATCATCTTGTTCGTGTCCACGGCCTCTGTCAACCCCATCATAAATCGACACACAACATCACAACATGCCCAGTGTCCATGTCTGTCAGTCACATAGCCATCAAGGTTCCTTCCTGAGGGCTGATGTGGCCACATCAAAGCCCCGTGTCATTCAGATGTAGCCGCAAGTAGCCGAGGCCTGCCCAGCTGGATCAAGCTGTGCAGCTGGCTGCCACGGACGCCTCTTTCTCAAACATTTGCAAGCAACCACAGAACGCCCGAAAACCTGTTCTACTTGCGCTGCTGCCAGGAATCCCCCGTAAGGATACGTCCAGCTCTCGGAGTTGGCGCCAAAAGCCAACATTGGGTCGGATGTAGTCTCTTGCCTGTTCAGCGTTGACTCTCTTGGCAGGAGCTGCTAGCCGCAAAACTCAGCCTACGTCTTGTCCTGCTGGTTCTCTCAAAGTCGCCTGGAAAACACGGCGGAACGCCCCTTCCAATGGAAGATTCTCTTTCATCATGAGGTACGCAATACAAGTGCCTTGGGAAGGCATGGATGACTATGGATGACAGAAAGACGTGATTTCACAAGGGTGGGGTGTCGAAGGTCACATGACAGCGTCAACACGAGCGGCCGAAGCGCAACATCTCATGTGGTGCACGTGCAATCACGCGCAGCAAACGACAAAAAAAGGCGCAGTGCAATCCGGCAACTGCTCGAGCGGCTCACCCCCTGGGCACAGTGGACAACAACGCCGTCGCCTCAGCAGAAGTCTAAGTCTCTAAGATCTCTAGGTCCTCTAGGTTGTATTGAGGAAGTTCCAGGAAGTCAGGCTTGGCCTCGTCGCAAGGCCTGGTCGATGATGCTGGCCGCCTTCTGCCATGCTGTACCTGAGGGTTAGTGAACAGAAAGTCGACTGCCCTTGACATCCCTTGACCTGGCAAGACGAATCACACATCCAAGTTGCGCATGTCCTGCTGCTCAACATCCTCTGCATCGAGAACCTGACACAGAAACTTTTGCAGAACTTCTGCAGGAACGTGCTAGCACGAAATCCCGAAGAACGTGCGCTTCAAGGCATGCATCAGTGACGTGCGAATCCAACGCTAGCTGCTGCAACCCCTACAACGAAAATCAAGGTTTGAGCAAGCGACAGCGTACAAGGGTGACACGTCAAAAAATGAATGGATGTTGACATCAGACTTTCTAACGAGTCTAACAGCTTCAGGATGTAGGGCCGAGGCTTCGGTACACTGTACTCTACGACTTCTGTGAATTGCAACTTGTTCTAATCTTCTCAGCTGCGACTGCGAACATGCATCAAGAGAAAAACACACGAAACGCAAAAACGGCATTGCCCTACAGTCAAAACGGAAACTCACAGAGATTTCTTGAGCCATCACCGCGGATGGTTGCACAGAAATTTTGCAGAATTGTAATTGAGAATGCCCGAGAAGGGCCGGGCCTACGCCACGAGCCTGCAACAGGCCCACGGGCCCACGGATCCGCCCCGGGTCCGTGGACAGGCGCGCGTGTATTCGGCCTACATATGCATGCTCTTACATGCATATGTGTGTACGTATGTAAGCATGCGCGAATAGATGTATGCATGTATGCATGCATGTATGCATGTATGTGTGCATGCATGCATGTATGCATGTATGTATGTATGTATGTATGTATGTATGCATGTATGTATGTATGTACACGTATGTATATATATATATATGTATATGTATATATATATATATGTACGTATATATGTACGTCCGCATGTATTTATGTACGTTTGCACGTGTTAGTCGCATACATCTATGTACGTATGTATGCAAGTATGTACGTATGTATGTATTCATCAACGTATGCATGCACTTATGTACAGAAGTATGTGTTCGTCGACACATGCATTTATCTATGTATGCATGTGGTTACCTATATATGTGTTTAGGGTTGCATGTATGTATTTAGAAACGTATGTATGTATTTATGTTTGTCTGTATGTCTATACACATGAAAGTATGCATGGTCTTATGTTTGTATGTGCATAAACACGTACATACAAGAATATATATATATATATATGTATATGTTTATGTGCATCTGTATGTATCTGCTTTCTACCTACATCTACATACATATACATACATACACACATACATACATACATATATATATATATATATTTACTTATTTATTTATCTATCTAATTATCTACCTATTTTCTATGTATACAAGCAAGTATAGGTATATCTGTGTGTATACATATATGCATGCGTGCGAGTGTGCCTGCGCGTGTTTTTGGCTTACGTACGAACATGTGGCCTATTCGTTGCTATGTTCTGCATGTACTTGCATGCGGTCTATTCCTTGTATAGATCCATTGCCTTATGGTAAGTTGTGTTTGACAGGGATACTTTATTTTGCGTGTGCCGATGTATGTATCTATCTATGTGCGTATGCATCGTCACATATGCAAGCATATGTACATACATGTAGTCATTATGTACTTGTACACTGCTCAAAGTCCGCATATAAATAAACAAATAAATGAAAAATAAGTGTATATATATATATATATGTATGTATGTGTGTGCATGTATATATATATATATATGTGTGTGTGCGTGTGTGTGTCTCTCTCTGCATGCACACGCATGCATGCGGAAAATTCTTTTCTATGTTTTGGATCTACATCTGAGTGTGGAATATTCTTTGTTATGCTTTGTTGAGCTATGTCATGTGGTGTTGTGTTATGTTACGCTATGTTATGCTACGTTATGGCTATGTCTTGTTACAGGATTGTGCTGTGTCATGTTATGTCATGCTGTGCTTTCTTTGTCGCTTCATGTGGTTTACACCTGTCACGTGCAGTGTCATGGCACGTTGCTATACTGTGCCATGCTATGTCTTGCTATGTCATGAGTTTTGTGATTTTGTGCTATGTTCTGTCTTATCTGTCTCTGAATATATAATATGTAGGTATTCAAGCATTCGTGCATGCATTGACATTATGAAGGTGTCCTACACTGGGCAACGTTTACGGATACTGAAAGCTCGCAATTTGCATAACTGAGTAGTGCTCCTGTTCTGCAAACTCCCAACCTAGCGCCGTTAAGCATCGTCACGATACCATCTCTGACTACCAGCGGGTGAGTATTGTCGCCACTGTCCTTCTTCTACTTGACTCGCCTCGCCTCACTTCTGTCAAGCATTAGCATAGCTGAGCGTTGCATATGATCTTCTTCTCACCTCTGTTAAGTCCCATGCCTGCTTCATTTAAATTCTTTCTCCCTACTTCAAAAGTCAGCACAAGCATGGATCCTTAGGGCGGTCTTACAAAACGTAGTAGCAATGTCAACATCCCGAGCATGGACACGCGACTTGGTAAATAACAAGAAAAGAAAATCTCAACGTGTCCCCAGCTTGCAACTCTTCTTGCCAGCGCATCCCTCGCTGTGTCCATGACCAGCGGGCCCACGGGCCCACGGGCCCGACACCCGAAAAAACCATGGCCAATGCCCCCAAGATTGACAAGAAGTTGCTAGGATCTGTCGGTTGCAAAGACTACCCGAGGAGGCCCGCAAGATTGAAGTACAGTTCTTGTTTGAAAGCTTCCAACAGTTTGTATGGCGTGCGAATGCTGTTCCCAGCTTCTCGGAATCTCCGCCAAAAGCCCGACGATGACAAGAGCATTGGCTTCTATTTTGCGACCAAGTTGACTAGATACGCGAGCCGCGGGTCAAGCCCCACAAGCCACCCTTTTCTTCATGCAAAGCACGAAGACCTGCAAGCCAAAACGTCCATGCCTCCACTTGGAAGCCCTGGAGGCGCTTGCTGAGGGGTGTGCCATCTGCACCTCTCGGAATACTACTTACAACTTTCAGAAGAAGCTGATAAAGTTTTCGACGCATCTCAGGCCGGCAGTACGGCAGCTCTCAAACTCTCAGCTAGCGACAGTTGTAGGACCGTGTATAGATGTCCTGCTCACGATGGGTTTCACCCGCTCAGATCTGCCGTGCTGGTTGTATACTTCGTCTCGCACCTATGACACGCTAACCGAGCTGATAAGTGCGTAGCGATTTCTCAAAGAGGCCCTTGACCCTCTGCATCAGGCATGAGCGACGTAGTGCTCGCTAAATCTGGTCGGTGCCGGACACGGAGCAAGTGTTGCAAGTTGTCGTAAGCTAATGCTCAACCTGGTCCTCAACAGTATGCACACGTCTGGGAGGCACGGTTGCACATGGCCACCTCTCCTCACCACCACAGTTCAGGATGCAGCCTACGCCCAACCTGGCTCAAGCAGAGGCTCTAACGGCTTCGACAAAAGCTGGAATCGTCGGCTTGAGACTTTCCGAATACTCCAAACAAAGTCCAGAAAAATTTAATACCATCCGAAGTCCGTGCGCTGGTAGGCGACTGCAGATGTCGTGAGCTGGAGAAGACAGCCGAAATCCAACACGTCGCCGCGCACCTGCTGAGCTCTGCCTTGTTGTCCAAAGCAGCTGCCCCACAGATGAACAGGCCCCCACCGATGTCGTCCTCACACACAGCTGCTTGTATGTCCCTCCAGGCAAAGCAGAAAGTCAGAAGACTGTACCATGACTCGTGCACAGCTGCAACTGAACTGCAGCCTCACTTTCGGTGATCAGCTGCAAAGCCTCCATTTAACCCACTATTGTTCCAGGCTACTAAGACCATGTCACCCTCAAAAGCTTGAACGGCTTGCATCGCCATGGCAGACGGCCAACTTGACAATCAATACAATCAATGCAAACACTGGTGGTTAGAAACTAGAGATTCCGAGGCTGCAGCTATGCGCTGCCACGAGATGTGCGAGAACTGCTTCTGCGAGGAGAGATCCTTCGCGAGCTGGAAGTCCAAACCTACCGACTACTGCTAGAAACCACCATTAATCATCTCAGGTCCGATCCAAGCGTGTCGGCTTCACGTCGTCCTCACTGGAAAACTGGAAAGCTGCATGGAGTCTATGGTGAGTCAGCGTAGCGGAAATGAGTTCTGCAGGCCCTGCATGATTTAGCTCCTTCGTGCTCCTCTCGAGTTCTTGCTGCGCATGGGCGGCCACGAGCGCTGCTTCTCTGAGCCTTAGCAGACTCTCGCGAGCAGGCCTTGCAGACTGGACAGGGACAATGTGCTCATACCGAACACCGACATGCCGCCAAGGTGCCAAGCAAGTGTCATTCAGAAGTCGTCTTGAAACGGGCACGCGGAGCTGAGGAAGTTTGACGCAACAGAAAAGCCAAGCATGCAAGTTCAAGCCCGATGCCCAGTGTGACCTGGAGGACACAGACCTACCTGACAAAACTTCTAAGCTGCAGCTTACACTGCGCGGGATGCGCTGCATACCGCCTGGTCCTAAAAAGTCCTCAGGGTAGAGAAGAGCACGTTTGCTTTTCGGGCCAGGAGGCTTAGACTTGGGTTTCACGCCGCTGTCGTGAGATTATTACGGCTAACTATTATATACCCTGCGAAAGGGAGACTTTATGCTGAGCACGATGGGGTCGGTAACCTGGCCACTGGCTTCTACCAGCCTCGAAGGCCGATGTCTCCCAAGGCAGCACTCGCAGGTCTCAACCCTGCAGGCTCGGACTTTGGTTTCGGGCACGCTGTGCACTTTGGCGCAGCAGTCCTCGACATGAACATGGCAGCCATGCGCCAAAGTGCGTGGTTCGGGTTGGAGAATGCGCAGGTAGCTTTACTGAGAGGCCAGCACGGAGCCTCCTTGAGAAAGGGGTTTGTGTGTTTGGAAAAAGGACAGGGAAAATAAATTGAAAACAATGCATGCGGACGAGGATTCTGAGGAACTTATCGTGGTCCTCATGATGAACAGAACTCTCACAATGCTTTGTCACATGAACCTGTGGCCAGTGCCTTGCTGGCAGAAACTCCGCATGTGACGACTTGCAAGGGTAGCGGGTGGATTACGCTCGCAGATTGACGAACAGAATCAGACGCTGAGCGCAAAGAAAGTATCCAATTTAAGCTAGGCACAACATGCCAAACTGCGAGCACATGCATGAATTTAACTCTACTTTCTGAAAGTTCTGGCTACGTACAAGTGGCGCAGGAATCACAAAACTATTCACTCTTCGCCAGCCTTTGACTGCGACAGCCATGTACTGCGAGATCGGTGATTGGCAATTCTGGCAGGCACTGAATGTCGTGTTGCCTCCACTAGCTAGTGACTGCTGCTAGTGCAAGTCTTCTCAGTTAGGGCACGGACTGACGAAGCTCGACGAAATCATTTCGGAACTTCCTTCGCGATCACATGCTGACAGCTGCTGACTGGCATCTGTCTGTCTGCACCGTTGCTGATAGCAGATAGCAGCTTCGGCTAAGGCTTCCGCCCACCACCACCCCTATCCCTGCACCCACCCCCACCCCACCACCCCACCACACCCACACCCCGCAACACCCGCCACACCCACACCACGCACACACAGACGCCCACACTCACTCACTGACTCACCCACTCACTCACTCGTGCACAGACAAGGCCACGGCTGGAAATCGGGCATGAAGTCAGCCGAGCAATCGCTCGCCAAAGCGACCTGGCCAGAATCCCAGAATGCCTGTGGATCTGTGCGAATCACGAAAAGCAGATGCATCGCAGACGGTTTCCAACGACCAAGCTTAACTCAAGCACACAAAGGGACGAGGAAGAGGTGCACTATAGGGCAGCAAAAGAGTAAACGCAGCATCTGTGACGGCTCATGCACAAGATCGCTCATCTTCACTGAAAGGAACTTTGCAAACCAAACGGCACCGGTGTGGGGTTTAGGGCCATTCCACGTTCCACGGCTTCTTCCCCGACTGAGCACGGGACTAGGTGAGGCTACTGTCTCTGCTGACAGACTGATTCGCACAGGCAGATAGATTGCTTTGCGAACCAGTCTTTTGACAATGTCCATCCCAGGCAACGCAAGGCCGGCAGACACCATGAAACAAGTCGCCTCAGCACAGCATGAACCAGCAATTGGACAATTCAAATCAGCACCGCATATTATTTACAAGTCGCAGTCCTCGGCATCTAAAAATTTCATGTCCCCTCTGTGGGCCGACTAAACGTTCAACTGCAAGCAATGGAAGGCCAGGACTCAGGAGGACTTTCAACTTACGGCATCCGAGTCACCCAAGATTTGTCCGATCTTCTTCTTTGCCTGCAACCAGAGCCACGAACAAATTGCACGAGACAGTCAACACATTCATGTTTGCAGGCTGTTGCAGATTGAAACTTTCAGCCCGGGCGTGCCCACTTAAAGGACACGACGCTACGCTTCCTAAAGAAATTGAAATTATGGCTGCGATTAAAAAGTCGAATATGATCAGAGGAAGCTGGGTCTTCAAGACCGTTGAAGGCCGAAGCTCCCAGCTTCTTTACCGGTTCCAAACCGCCAAGGGCTAAGCAGCTTCGTTGATTCCAGATTTAGGCTCCGGGTCTACATCTGAAAACCTCAGTGCTCCTGGCGGCTGGCTTTGGCGCAGGCATAAGCCCTTTACTCATACAGACTTTGCCCAGCAGGAACACATCCTCACAAGAGCTTGCAGGAACATGATAACGTACTGTCCCCTGCAGGTGCTATTTTTACGTATCAAGCATCTTCTTCTGTATCCATACACGCAAACCGCATAGCCCATTAGCAAGAAACTTTTTTGCGGAAACATGTTAAAACCTTGCCAACGCAAATACACACCGTCAAAGCGTGATATTCTGAAACAACTAGGATGCGACAAAACATGGTTGCAATACTGAAAAGAAACGAAGGCCCCTTAACGTTATGTTCCATAGTCATGTTCTGTCACCCACCTGGCACGCCCTTTCCATAGTCCCAGCAATAATACTAACAACAGTAGTAGCAATACTAGTAATAATATGAACAATAGTAACAATAGTCAGAACGGAAAACAACCGTAATCATAACAAGCGTGCTAGTGCTGCTAGCAATAACAATCAGAACATGGCAAAAAAAAACAATACTGACGGAGTAGCAACAATAGCAATGACATTAACAGTAGCCATAGTCTTGTAAGCAACAATAGCCATAATGGCGAGAATGATATTTCAGTAGAAGTAACAAAAAACAATTATAATCGTCATCATGGTTCTAATGATATTGGCGACAATGGTAAAGGCTGCAATAGATTCTACAGCTCTTTGAATACAGCCGTTATAGGACTTTGCCTGGATCGTAACAGTCTTTTTTGTTATACTTAGTTACTCATTTATGTCACTCTTTCTCTGCATTCGTGCTTTCGGTGCTTATTTATTTTGTTCTCCCTTTCTTGGTTTTCTCGTTAATTATTTATTTCGTTCGTCTGTTCTTTTTGTTTTGCTAGTTCTTTCTTTCGTTCTGTCTTTCGTTCTTTGTGTGTTTCTTTCTTGAGTTCGCTCTTTCTTTCTGTAGTTCGCTCTTTCTTATTTTGCTCGCTGTTTTCGTTATTTATTTCGTTCGTTGTTCTTTCGTTCGTTAGCTCGTTATTTCGTTCTTTCATTCGTGCGTTATGTATTTGTCTATATATATATATGTGTTTAACTATTTAATTGGTTCGTTCTCTCTTTCTGTATATATCTATTTCGCTACCTACTTCTTTAGTTCTATGTATTTGTGCCTTTAATTATGTATTTCGTTATGTCTTTCTTTCGTGCTGTCTTTCGCTATTTATTTATTGCGTTCGTTCTTTATTTCGTTCGGTCTTTATTTCTGTCGTTCTTCCGTTATGTATTTCGTTGTCTCTTCATGTGTTTGTTTCTTCATTTGTTCATGTCTTCATTTCATTCATTTCATTCTTTATTTCTTTCTTTCTTTATCTCTCCTTGGTCTTTATTCCTTGCTTTCTCCTGTGCCTCTCCTGCGGCTTTGCCGCGGGCCCCCCTCCCGACAAGCAACACAAAAAAACAACAGCTCCCCAAAGTAACTGTTGGAATACTCTCTTGGAATGTGCCTGCCCCGTTGCAAGTCGCGATGACATGGATCAAAGTTCGTCGCACCTTGTCGGGAGACTTCCACTGCTTGCGGAATGCCGATGACATTACCTGCCACGGGCTGAGCATTCGACGAACCAGAAAAGTCATGGCAACGCACAAACGATTGCTACGGCGCATGACTACCGACGATTGCCATGAAATCACTGAAAATGATGACAAAGCTCTAGGATGCACTGACGAATTTGTTGGCCAATTGCTTTATCGGCTCGACATGTGCTTTCACCAAAATGGTATCCGATGCCATTGCTGACAGGGAGCCTGAGTATAGAAACCTCGGCGCACGACTGCGGGTATCCGTCAGGATTTTGCCGTCTGATACTCGTCTTTGGGGTTGGATATATCTCAGAGGCTGCAAGCCGACCACGAACTGTTAAAAAAAAAGATCCACCTGCAGCACTGTGGCCTTCTTCCAGCGCATCCTGCAGAATCTGCGGACCTTTCGTCAAGCATGCAAGCTCATCCAGATTTCTAGGGGCCGCGTGAGTTTGTTGCCGTCTGACACAGTGCTCCTTCCCGTGACCGTCTTGAATCCTTCATTCTACCATGCTGCAGCAAATCAGGAGGAGTCTTGCCCGTGTATGTAGTGAACCGTTGTGAGCCCAGGACGTGGCAGCCAAGCTGCTGAGCTTCTCACTGCGGTAGGCCGGAGGTCGGAAGTCAGAGCCTCGTCCGTTGACGTGACCAGATGCGGAATCTTCGAACGCATACCAAACCCGGAGGTCAAACACGTCTCTATACGGACGCGCCAACCATCTTGTTTCTGAGTTCTCTCTCTCTCTCTCTCGCTCGCCTCTCTCCCTGTCTCTCTGTCGCTCTCCCCTCTCTTTCTCCCTCCCTCCCTCCCT